TTTAGGGTAATATGGTTAGGTCGTGGTTGGACTTGAAGATCTTTAACGTCTTTTCCAACCTGAGAACTTCTATGATTCTATGAAGCTGCAGCACCATTCTCCGACTCCCCAGACAAAGCCTCCTCAGAGGGACCCTTCTTCACTCACACCAAGGGAAGAGGAAAGCACAACATGATAAGGACAGAATCCAGAATCTCCCTCATGCCACTGTCTGCAAAGGCTGACAGTTACACACTGGAATGCCATGCAACTGCCACCCCCGGGGTGGCACCTCCCAGGTGGTGGATGTGCTCTAGGCATTCAGCAGCAAAGCCACTGAAGGAAGGCCAATGGCTAATTCCTTCATCTTCTGTTGGCAAACAGCCGCTTTGGGCTGCCTGCATTCATTCTCCAGCCCTTCTCACCTCATCTCTGAAGAGCTTGGCTTGGTCCTCACAACCCGTCAGAGTTTGAACAAAGCTAAAGACCTTGGAATAAACAGAAAGAAATGTCAAGATGGAAGCAATGTTTCTGTCTGGAGACACCCCTATGAGATCACATCCTCATTTCCATAGAAGCTTTATGAATCCTTTAAGTTAACACATGCCTGGTAGGGCAAAGTGCTGCAGTTGCAGCATTCTCCTATGCCACTCCTGACCAGGGTGTAAGAAGCTGGAACAATTCTTGCCTCAAAGCTTGTTTAGTGGCACCCATCCAAGACATAGCCTGCTCAACAAACAGCATGGGTGCTGGTCCTTTGCAGCCCCAGAGTAGCAAATGCTACAACAGCTTTATCTCCAATAAGCTATCTCCAGCCCAACAAGATGATTCCCACCGAGGAATTGGGGCAGAAGTGGTGCACACAGAGGACATCAGGCAAAGCTGCGTGCTGGGGCTGCCAGTCCAGTCTCAGAGGTCCAGCTACCCAACCTTCAAGAGAAGCCACTACCAATACCAAAGAAAGTAAATAAAAGTGACGAGTATGAATCAGAGGTAAATATTTCATCACAGAGAAAGAAGGAAGCGATTCCCTATCTGCAGAGTCTATGGGAGGTTTTTTTGCTTGTTTGTTGTTTTGTTCTTTATTTAGAAAAGAGAAAACTGATTTGGAAAACTAGTATGCTAAATGAAGACTGTTGTCCTTCACCTGCCTGCCCTGTTAGCATCACATTCAAGCCAAGGAAGAATCTGGTAGTTCTACATATTCTTCCCAAGCCACTGCCATCAGGGCATGTGACTGACAGCTGTCCACACCGTGCTCTCCGGGTGTATCCAGTGGGACACTTCATTAGCCCAGGGAAAAGGCTACTGTTCTGTACCAGGGACATGTACCACTGTGCTGCACAGCTAGCTGAAGTCCTCTCAGTCATGCCAGTGGGTTAGGAACCAGCACACACTCCAAAACTGCCTCACCTCATCAATTGTCCACTTGGCTACTGTGGTTGCTGTGATGCCAGCCACTCCTGGTAGGAGTTTGCAGTGCTGCTCCCAACACAGTGATAGTGAGCGGTCAGGATGGGCAGACAGGGCAGACATGAAGAGCGACTGGTGCATGTTGTCTGAAGAAATAGCTGCCAATAAAAATGCAAAGTGTGATACAAAGAAGGGGGATGAGAACATCCTGTCCCATTCTACAAGCCTTGAAGAAGACTCTGTTCAGGAGAGGACCTGGGGCTGGGAGCAGATGGTCTTGTGGGGTCACGTTATTAAGAGCAAGTGGCTGTCCTTTGAATTAAACAGGATATATTAATGCATCAAAGGCATTCAGTACAGTGGTACTGGAAATGGTGGGCGTAGTTTAGAGACCAGGTTGACTTTGCCTTGTTCTTTTCAGTCCTTCGTAAATTTCAAATCAATTTTCACACCAGAATACCATCCCTTATCATTCAACTCTTTTTAGGTTTATAACAAAACTTTAAGCTTTAGTCTCTGCCCTAATGAGCCAATGATGGTTTCCAATAAGAGATCTTCATTCAGCTCCAGTGATGGGCTAAACACCAAGCCAGCCTAAGGTAAAATCAATACTGGCTGGAGAAAATGCCTTATCACCCTACAGCCACTTATGTACCATGCCAATCATGAGAACTAATTGCCAAGAAAATGTTCAACAACAGGTTCTGTTCTGCAGGAGCAATGTGGCACCTCACACTGAGGATTTGGGGTATAGCACCGATAGGATGAAAGCACAGCACCCTGAGCTGAAGACAAAGTGCCTGGAAAAATGCACAGCCAGAGAGAGACAGTCCCAATTCCCTGCCCTAAAGCACTCAAACATTCACAGATACAAATCAAGAGAAGTGATGAGGGACCAAGTAGAGCACTGGTAAGAGTCACAGACATCCCTTGTTAGACGGCTCGTTTTGACATCATGAAGTCTACACAGCCCTCTGCCTGGTGCTGACCTGTGCAAGGACTGACAGAGCAAGCCAAGGAAAGACATAATTCTGTCAGCCACCACCCCAGCTCAAGTCTTACCCTGTTCTGCAATGACACCATGGCAGAGGAGCGCACTTACTCTGGAAGTCTTCCTGTTGGATCTTCCGGTACTTTGGAGGTCGCCCTCTAAAGATAAAGGAAAACTGATTTCACCTGTGTTGGAATTGGCCTAAGGGCCCTTCGCCACACTGCACAGAGCAATGCCTTGACAGTAGGAGCAAGGATTACCTCTCAGACCCTGACAAAAAGGGCTGACAGCCAAAAAAACATAATGTGAATAAAAAAAAAAAAAAAAACAGGAGAGGTGTCAAAGGTCACTCAATAGAGCTGCAATAACAAACACCAGCTGTTAGCAAACATGCTCCCCTGAAGGCAAGGAGTCTCTCCAACTCAACCATCCATCCTACAGATGTCATGTGTAGCCCAGCGGCCCCACACTGCTGTGCAGGGGTCGCCAAGTTTCCCCTACCTCCCATGGTGCCGAGATTTCTTCCGCTGAGGGAAGCCGATCAGGTTCCTCTTGCGAGTTGAGGCCTCGGTGTCAGACAAGTCTGCCTTAAGCCTGCCCTGGTTCTTCTCCGCCAGTGGGCACCCTGAGAGGCAGTAGTGTGCTGTGAATCTCCCTGTCACGTGTCCTGATCCATCACAACCCGGTGTTGGGCACTTCCTAGAGAAAAGAGGACAGGTGAGAGTAGAACAAAGCATGAGGCAAGAGTGGGTGAAGCTGGCTTGGGACCACCATCCAACCCCAACTGCTAGAAGCCATAGCCTTGGCCAAGCAAAGTGTAGTAAAGATTTGCTGAACACATTCCCTGGGGCTGTGGTGCCAGCTGTGTGGGCTCATACATAGGGCAAGTCCAGTCCCTCCAGGTACGAACACCTGTCCTATCTTGTCCACTGGCACCACAACCACCCTGTGCAAGTCAGCAGAATGCTGATCAAGCAGGTCAGTGGGGTTCGTAGGAGTGCTTCCTCACAGGCATCCAGATTAGCCTCAAAATAGGACAAAGCATGTGCCATGACTGTGCCCAGGAGGTAAACCTCTGGGAGCCACACTTGCCTCCCTCATTCTCAAGTACTCTCTGCTATACTCGCTTCTCTGCTCTGGTGACAGCCTGTCATGCTGGGGTTAGCATTACACCCGCACTGATTTCTCCTGAAAAGGGTCATACAAACAACTGACAATGCCTTGAGGGAGATGTCCCCTCTCAGTACTTCCTAGCTTACAAGCTCACAGTGAAAGGTAGGGGTGGGAGGAATATCATTCTCAAAGCATCATCTACAAGTACATAAAGGCCATCCTCTACAAGGCTTACAGGACCCCTTGCAGATGAACTTGAAGAGCATCCTCAGGAGCTCTGGGGACACAGGACAGGTACAGAAAGGAAAGCATCAGCTCATCGGCAGTTAAGCTGGCAGCAGGCTCCAGGGACAGAGCCAGGCATAGGGTGGGTGCACGGAAGGACTGGCTGCTGACAGGCACAGAGGAAGGCTCTGGCACATAGCTGGCAGGGAAGCTCTGACCCTCTGAGCTGAGCTGCGGAGCTCACCTGTGGTGAAAGCTGTACTTGGAGCTCTTGGTATGAGGGATGTTCTTGCAGCCCAGGGTTGGGCAGCCTGAGTGAGCAGAAGAAGCTGGTTCCTTTGGCCCTAGACCAGAAGAACAAGGGACAGACTGTCATAGGCACAGCCCCAGACACTCCAGCATGCACCAAACTGGAGTATTTTCCCCATGGAAGCCCTTCCTCCCTGCCCACCCTTGACCAGCACAATGGATGCACGTGGACAGGTAATGGTGACTGTGGGGATCAGGCACTCTTGGGCCCTGGTATGAGAACTTACTAAGAGGAGGCTGCAGTGGATGACCAGTTTTTGAGCACCAGCCTATGGGATGTATGTCTGGATGATCTGCATCAATCCAGAAATCATATATGTGGCTCCAACCATCAAAGTGGATCTGGGGAAAAAAGTAGAGACGTCACCCTTTAAACCTCAGTGTACCTCCAGGAGTAGCTCTGAAGTCTTCCAAGCTGATAGCATGCAACAGAGCAGGGAAACAAGATTTTGCAACACAAGATTTTGCTCCACTCCTGGATTCAGGCACTGGGGCTTGCCATCTGCCATCTTATGCACTGTGCGCTTCCACAGACCTCTATATACTTTGCCATTGCAACTGGCAGTGAATTAGGAAAGACAAGAGAAGCCGGCACAGTGCCTGGACCTAGGCTCAGCACTAAGACCCACTTTTATCCTGTGATCTTCCACATCCTCCACACTGGCCACTCGGATGAGGGAAGGAGTCCTCCTGTCCACTGCCTCGAGCTTCATGTTGACGAGGAAGCCATGGGGCGGGCGCTGGAACAAGAAAAAATATAGGTCAGCAGGAAGTAGGGCTACGCTCAGGATCCTGTCACCCCCAGACTGCTTTCCCAGAAACATATGTATTCCCAAAGCCCAGCTCCTACCCCCTGTCCTGTCCAGATAAGAGCCACTGCTGCTCATATTGGCTACCAGGAGAGTATGAACAGAACTCCCAGATCTGAACTGTGTTTTTAACAAGATGGAAAAGCTATGCCCAAAGGAAGAACGCTTTCAAGAGTCATTTAGGGACTTTATAACACAGCTGCACTTGGCTGGACATAGCTGTTGTTGAAAAAAGTGGAGATAGCTGTCAAGCAAATTTAAATGATTTTCCATCACACAGCTTCTGTCTAGCAGAGGTGATGGCCATTCTTCTGATTTTTTCCCATTTTGATCTATTTGCCTAGGACAGCCTTCACTTCTGAACCTTGAGCATAGATCTGAATCCTAGGCCTGTGGTAAGAAGATGCTAAACATCTCTTTACTCTTCATAAATTTGAAGACCTGACAATAGAGAAAATTTGAATTCCTGCCCACGTATAATGAAGAAGATGATGTGGCACTCACCACTTTAAAAGCCCAAGCTGGGACAGCAGATGCTCCTGTTTCTTTTAAGTACTTTTCCCAGGTGAAATTATCAGGGTCAGGATAATCTAGAAGGGAAAGATGCAGAAAGTGAGATACACAACAGCAGGAAGATGGCAAGTAACCCAGAGGCCTTGAAAGACCAACCATGCCTGTGCCATGTATATGGAAACCTAGGAGACATTAAGATGCGCTACTATTTTGCCCTGGACCATGAAACCCAGGGTGCAGGGAAGCAGGAACGTTTGGGCCTGCACATATAGCTTGGGTCTTCCTGACCTTTCCACTTGGCCTGACACAAACATCATGCTGGACCTGAACATATATGTACAAGAGACTCTTGTACGTGCCACCTCCTTGGCCACAACCTTGCTGAAGAAACTGCCTGGGCCTGCAGGCAAGCACAGGCCATGGGGTTTGATTCCCTAGGCATCCCGTCCCACCCCAGAAAGCCTGTCTCTGAGGTGATGTGCCACTGAAGGCTGTGTTCCCCAGCTATCAACTCACCTTGAGGAGGTGTGAGGGGTTTGCCATGCTCCTGACACCATCCGACTGGGTGAATGTATGGACTGCTGGGGTCACACCTAGAAAATACATCTAAACCATTATACAGGACTGAGACACCTGTCTCACCCCTGCTAGACTGTGCAGGCTGCCAGGGCCTGGGATAGGCCAGCAAGTGGCACAGACTAGATCTACACCATCAGCAAAAGCCCCTGCAGAAAGAAAGGCTTTCTACAGCACCTTTGGCCCTGAGTGACCCAGGGGACTCCAGGCCCTAGCAGGGCAAGGGCTGGAGTGGAGTACTCCATCTCACAAGAGCAGGACATGAATGTGAGCTGGATGGAACTGCTGTGTCAGAGCTGTCCAGGGAAAAGCAACCCTGTGGGGGTTACATGCCATGTCTTTCAGAGTTCACAGCAGTCAAATCTGGGCAACCAGCAGGGGTCACACCCTGGTCACAGCTCCTAGTACATCCCAGAACACTTGAGGTCTGCCTTAGATCAGAGCATGAAGTACTTATTTTGCGTAGCCAACACCAGCAAGGAGCAGCCACAGACAGAAACTGCTGCAGCCTCACAGTTCCTTGTGGTGCAAAATAAGAGTATTAGTAACAAAGCAGAACTCTGTGCTACTTGGCTTAAATTGGCCTCAACTGGGATACCTGCACACACACATCCACAGAGGCAAACAACGCCTCACATACAAGCCCAGGAACTCTTTTTAAGAGTAGGTATCCAGCCTCTGCCTCAGATGCATTGCAAAAAACCCTCTTTGACACCCAAGTGGGTATCAGGGCCTGTGATCAGACCTGTCTTAGCCCTGTGTTACCTAAAAGGCCACAGCAACATCCCAGAAAGTGACAATGAACAGGTAAAGGTTTGCACCCCAGCACAGGTGGGTGACCCTCTTCTTCAGTCTCATAATGGACTCAAGTTGCACCAGGGTAGGTTTAGATTGAATGTTAGGAATCATTTCTTCATGGAGAGGATGGTCAAGTACTGGAACAGTCTATCCAAGGAACTGTTGGAGTCTCCACCTCTGGACATGGTTTACTGATAGGACTTGGTAGATCAGATGATGGTCAGACGTCAAGATCCTGAATGTCTTTTCTAATCTACATGGTTCTATGATTGTTACTGGGTCAGTCTATGAGTGTTACAGCGTCAGATTGTTGCTTGATCTGCAGCAGCATACTTGTGGTATTGTACTGTTTTCTAAAGCACCTCATCACTCTTGCTGAAGCAAGAAGAGAGTTGGCACTGGGAACCTAGAAGCCTCTGTGCACTTACCAGTAATCGTAAGTATCATCCCAGTTGTCAAAGTGCACCAAAAAGCGATCGTCCACCACATCAGTCACTGTGGCAACACAGATCAGGGAAGGATTCATGCGGTCCACAGCCTCAAGCTTCATGCCCACTTCGAAGCCTGGGGGAGCCTCACGCTGGGAGGAGAAAGAAGCAAGTTTCTTTCACAGCCTCAGACCCAGCACCCTTCTTAACACTTCCCTTGCCTGCTGCAAGAGAGCAGCTGCCTAAAACAAGACCCTCTCAGGCCTGCAGGCAGGCTTAGGGCCACTTAGGGTCAGAAGGGTCCGTGTATGTAAGAGAACAGGCAGAGGGTAATTAAATCACCCTGGCCATACAAAAAGAAAGAAAAAAGTCTTTAGACCCTCAAGATCTTCTATAAGGAGAGAAAACTTGCCTCCAACTTATACTGATTTCAGTCTAGTCATGTTGCTACTGTGTTAGCTACTAATGCCCTAGGTTTGGTAGAAAGAGCTGGGTCAGTGCCCTGCGTCCTACCTTGCCTTACTTCCTGGATCCCAAATCTGCAAAACACTGTGTCACATATTCTAACGGAACTGCTGCAGAAAATCACATCCCCACCTCGGCAGGGAATCCATGCATTCATGGACTTAGCCACAGTAAATAACTTAAAGAGACTGATTTATCAGTAGGTTTAGTTTCCTCTGCAGCTGGAAAGAAGCCAGCAGCATTTTTCATTCCGCTACATTCTCACTTCCTTTACCCAAGCTGCCACATGAAAAACAAAGGCAGAGACAGAGATAATGAAGATAGAAAACAGATAATGGGACATGAATAGTTTGTTTGGTTTTCTTTGGCAAAATATTTGTTGAGAGTAATACCTATTTCTCCCCAGTCAATACCTTTGAAACGTATGTTAACAATCTGTGAGAAGGACCCAGATGAGAAAGGAAATCAGCCCAGCTCCAATTTTGGGCACGGCAAGCCTGTGCCCAACGTAAGGATCTTCAGCAGCTAAGCACACCACATCTTGACAAGCAACACAAGCAATGCATTCTCTTGGCCCTACTCACTGTGGCTTTGAGAATTGTGGGGTGAACAGAGAAAAGCCCAATATTCAATTGGAGAGTAGTCACCCCAAACCCACAGGCTCTGACAGGGAGGAGAAGCTGCTACTCACAGTGTTTCGGATCACAAAGAGGTGCTTAGGAGCTGCCTGTGCCTTTGTTATCTTCAGGTAGTTTGTCCAGCTGAATTCTTCTTCCTTATAACCTAAAACCCCTCAGGAAGAGAAATGAGAGCAGCAAGTTCACAGGGAGCCAAGAGGTCATGTGGTTGAGCCTGAACATCCTAATCCAGCCAGCCCTCACACCAAGGGTGGGCAGGGTTTTGAACAGCCATTGAGCACCTATAGCCTATGGTTTAGGCCAGTGTCTGACTTCAGAGGGGTGCTAAGAAATGTTAGCATTGGAGTGGAAAAACAGCTTAGCACTGGAGAGCACTGGTCCTCTGCCCAGGAGTGCACTGCATCCAGGTTGTGGTAGCACCAGTGTGCACCAGCTAGTGCATCCAAGGCAACAGGGCTTCGCCCCAGAATGGAAGGGAAGTTTAATGTTGATGGGTACCTAAAGTGGTGTCCTGCAGCAACACCCAGCACAGTATCATCCCTCCTGGAACCCAGGGAGTCTCCTATTCTTGCACTGGGGGCCTGTTATTCATTCCCTTCCTTCCTTCAATAAGGCCCATCAACCAAGATTCATACCTTTTGGAGGCTGGAGTTTGTGTCCTGTCTCTTCAAACCAGCCAGCAGGGTGGATGTCAGGGGAGTCAGCATTCAGCCAGAAATCATGGCACTCAGAGTAGCCGTCAAAGTGAAGACGCATCCGATAGCCACATACCTACCCACAGAAACAGCAGGAGAAGGAAAGAACCATGGAAACCTGCTGTCCCTGGCTGGATGTTGCACCCACCACCCCTCCCACACAACATTTCAATACAGCACTTAAGGAAGCCTTAAGAAACAAAACTTAAGAAACAAAAATCATATGCCAGTGCACAAATCAGGATGCCAGACCCAAGAGCTATCCAATATGGATCAAGGTAAGTATAAGGCCACTGCTACCTTCTGAGCAGGGGGTTTCAGGCTGGTGCTTAAGATGCCACAGTAAAATATCTCTGTATTCACTTTATGTGATGGAACCAGTGAGTGCAAGTATTCCCTTTTCTGCGTTCGTGGGAAATGTTTGCATAGAGGTATATCTAAATGCCATGTTGCTCTGGTGAAATCTCTCCAGTAGCAGAACAGTATCCACTGTCATGAGGGTGATTTTCCTGGCTGCCTGTGGGCCCAGAGTGAAATGCAAGGCAAGTCCGATTTGGGGACATGACAAATGACTGAGTGGAAAATCCAGGACCCAGAGGGCCTCTGCAGGCACAAGATCAATGGGACACCTTCACTTCTTCCATCTCCAGGGCTCAGACCTGTCTGAGAGGCATCAACTCAAAAGTAAGAATCCGTTGCCAATACCACAGTACAACACCATACCCCATGGCTCCAGGGTGGCAAAGAGAATAACTGGGCTGCGACATGGCAGCTGCTCCAAAGCACTGGCTCCTGCCCTTACAAACAGGAAGGAAACATCCATTTGCTTGACAGAGGTGATAGAGTGCTAGCTCATTTCATGCAGTGCTGGCAGCAGAATGCAAGTGAGGGCCCCAAACTCCTGTTCCACTGGGCAGGAAGGACATGCAGAGAGACGCAGAAAGCAAAGGCACCTTACCTCAGCCACCGTCAGGATAAAGTACATGGATGGGTGTTGTGGATCAATTCCCTCCAGCTTCATCCCCACTTTAAACCCATTCTTGTGCTGGGAAGCTACTTGGTACTGGAAACAAAAATGAAAATACAATGTAAAAAAATGGCAGATGTAAATGGGTCTAGAACCATCCCAAGGAACAACCATCAGCCTATGGGAGCTGCTGGGCCCAGGAGACTGTGGGCAACAGGTTATGTTTTTGGCCAAATTGTTAATGCTTTTTCCACAGAAAAAAAAACACCTTCCTCCACCTCCTTGTGGGTTTGTGTCTCTTGCTGCTGTCAGGGCATAGTATCCCTAGGCTGACAAGGAGTGGGACATGGGGTGTGGGCTCCTCTTGCACCCTGGCAATCAATGGGAGGTGGGGACACAGATCCTCTGCATAGCCTCAGGAGAGCCCAGGCCTGACTTGAGGAAGGACTGGAAGGGCTCCACCAACCTCCCAGAGCAATAGGCAGACATGGGGCACTTGGGACAGGGACAGCATCCTGCTCGGGAGCAGGACTTGGGGTCAATCAGAACTGGAGGCTGACTGGTCACTTCCAAGTGAAGATGGGAACCCCACTAAATAGGGAAGCAAAGAACAGAGGAGAAAGAGGAGGAGTAGGAAAGAAAAGGTACAGAAAAGAGAAGATGAAGGAGGGAAAAAGACGGAAAATCCCAACTCACATCCTGGAAGAGATCTAAAGGGGCAGCGACAGCTTTCTGCTCCTCCAAGTAGGACGCCCAAGACCAGCCTTCTTTCTTCTCCTCGCTGGCACCTGAGCGCAGCACAAACGCACACACAAGAGGCGCTGCTGAGGTTCTGCTCCAGCCCCAGTCCCTGCCTGCCTTGGGCAGGTGAGCACACAGGTCTGTCCCACTGGGGCCACATCCCACTCTCACACACAGTCCTGCATAACTGCAAAGCTCAGCACTGTCCTACCAGAACCCCTTCTTCAGCAAACCTGGTCAGCTGCCCAAGGAGCCAAGTGATCCCCCCTCTCACACAGTAACCCAAATGTCTTTTGCTGCTGTACAACACTCTAGAAGGCACCTAAAGACCATGAGCCATCTTGTGCAATAGCATCAGGACACCTCTGCAACCAGTCCTCCAGCCAGTACATCTGAAATGGCCACTGTGCTGACAGATCTGAGACAACCAGCACAATCCATCTAGAAGTCTGGGAATCACTCCCCAACGCAAGTGGCTCCCAGCCAGTCAAACCACCTTCCTCCACTACTTCAGAGGAACAAATTCTGCTATCTTCTCTGAGTCCTCCTCAGACAGCAGAGCCACAGTGATGCCCTAGAGATACACTTACCCTTATAATACTCATTTAAAGAAGACAATACCCAAAACAGCAAAATATGTCCAGGAAATGCATGAGGACAAATTTCATACTTCTGGAGAGTGATAAATACACCCAGAGACAGAATGTGCACCTACTTTGCTGCACCGAAGTATACAGGTGCGTATTTTGTCTACAGATGAATTTCTAAAACATGAGAAAATAAAATGCTGGAAATAACAAAGCTCAGCACTGCTTACTTGTAAACAGCAGGGAAGATCTGTGTTCAGGGCTCAGACTTTAGAGAAAAGGAGCTGGCAAACACACACAACCTCCCTTTTCAGTAGTGCTTTGCTCGCTGTACTCACAGAATCATAGAATGGCTTAGGTTGGAAGGGATACTGAACACCATCTAGTTCCACATTTCTGCTGTGGGTAGGGTTGCCAAGCACTAAATCAGGCACTAGATAAGGTTGCCCACAGCCCCGTCCAGCCTCACCTTACAGGGATGGGGCATCCATAGCTGTGGCAGTCTCGCTACTCTCTCAGTGAAAAATTTCCCCAACATCAAATCTAAATCTCCGAGCTTAAAACTGTTCCCCCTTGTCCTATCACTGTTCATCCATGTAAAACGTTGATTCCTCTCCTGCTTACAAGCTCCCTTAAAGTACTGGAGGACCACTGTCAGGTCTCCTCCATCCTTCTCCAGGCTGCACAAGCCCAGGCTGTCTGCACAGAAGAGGTGCTCCAGCCCTTTGAGCAGCCTCGTGGCCCTCCTTTGGACCTATTCAAAATCAGGGCTTGGCAACCATCTAGAGCCTGTTACAGTCCCTGCATTTTGCTGTGGAGGTGAGTACGGAGCTGGAATAGTTTCATTTTGAAATAACTTAAAGTATGACCTTTCACTTCAAAAGAAAATATACTTTCCATAAATGTTTACTTCCAGTATTTTCACAAGTTTTCCTCTCCTCTCTCACCCCCTATCATACTCCAAGGTGGGGGGGGGGAAAAAAAAGCAAGCAAACAGTGTGTTCCTCAGTTCATCCAATTTCCCTCTGATTTCACCACATCTCTGTGTTTGAAATTTGCTCTGATTCAGTCTAGGAATAGATCCCTGTGACATGAGCCAGTCCCAAATCACTGGACTCCTACAAGCCAAGACCTACAGGAGCAGCACCCAAACCTGTGAGCTCCTGATGTCAAGAGGGAAGTTCCCTTTGAGACCATCCAAAGAGGAGGGAACAGCCAGACAAGGCACAAACAGGTTATTGCTCAGGACAGCATCTCTCAGAGTGGAATATCCGCACAGGAGGGTTGATTCCCAAAGGGAGGGACCAGAAAGCACTGTACATTACGAGACAGCTCCTGAAGAAGACACAGCCATAACTTGTAAGGGTGCAACCATTCCACAGGGAGAAAGAGAGGAAAGGAAAGAAAGGGAAAGAGACAGAGAGAGCAGGATCAATCAAGCAGAGGAGTTCACAAGATTTCAAGAACATGCACCAATGTCTGGCACTGGTGCTCAACTCTGCTGGAGCACCAAAATGCTGGCCCAAGCCCTGAAGGATTGCAGTAAGACCCTGCAGCCCTCACCATGCATTCCCATCCACACTGCTGTGGCAGAGGACTGCTCACCCCAACACCGACCTGGCCCCTCTGTACCGTGCTGGCTCCAAGTGTCAGCCTCTGTATTGCTGATGGCAGAGTCTCCCACAGAGTTTTTCAGCTCTTCCTGCTTTTCCTCCTTGATACAAGAGCAGACAAAGGTGTTAGATGTCAGGATTCCTGCACAGAGGTTTATGCTGCATGTTGTACCTTCACACCAGTGTCAAGGGCCAAGATAAGCCTCCAAAAACATCCATGATTCAACTGATGCTTAGCCCAGAAATGGGAAGCCAACAGGATTGATCTCAGAATCTGACAGGGAAATTTTGGTATTGTGTGTTAGCAATGACGTCTGGTGTGAATCTGCTACAGCCAGGCCTGGCAAGTAGAGCAAGTAGAGCTTGCCTTGTCAAGCAGTTCTGTCCCCCAGAAACACATCACACAGATAGATGTTCTCTTCAGCACTTCTACTCTAGAGTGGCCTAGATTCAAGACAACAGTTGAGAGCATTCAGTACCTAAAAAAGCCCAATCAGAACACATCCAATACTGAACACTCCCATGCACTCAGTATGCCAAACAGCCAGCCAATTATCTAGAAGCCATGATATTCGCCTTTTTGGCACTAACAGCTTCAGGTTACCCCTTCAACATACTGCTAATATGGCACTGAAAAACACTGATGAGAGCCGCACACAGTAACACTGACATGGGCACACATATGCTTGCCTTGCCTTCTTCCTACCATTTGCTCAGATTCATAGTCTTCTTCCGAAGGGCTCTGGTAGTCCTTCCTCTTTCGTTTCTTCGCTGGCTTGAGGATTTCAGTGGCACTGGTGCTGCTGGCAGAGTTTTCCACAATGACAGATCTACGCAGATGAAAAGTAAACCACTGTGGTAAAATATATGGCAATATCTGTGGCATTGGTAAGGGAGTCAGTCCTGGAGAAGTGCTGTTGTTCCATTTCCTATTTCCTTCCTCCTAACTAACTTATACACTTCTCTGAGCACCAGAGCTGGCAAGCAGTCAGAACCAGAATACAGAGCAGAACCACCCTCATACACTAGTATTGGAAAACTGAACCTAGGGATGGGCCCACAGAGATGCTGGAAAATCAGTCCTGGAAGTCACACATCAGTAAGCAGAAAGGTTGGAAATGCAACCCATGCTTTCCACTGCTGCTCCGCCTGGAAGCGCCCGCTATAGCAAACTCCCACAGCAGTCCTGCCCCAGCAGATGCATGTTTATGAGGCCACAAACTGGGTAAGAGAAAATCTACCTTCCTGCAGCTTTTGTTGCGCCTTGGAACAATTCTTCCCCACACTATACTCTGGACACCCTGCCTACAGGGAAGACAGAAACAAGTGGGGTCCTCAGAACCTGCAATACGAGCTTGCATCTCTTCCTGGAAGCATGCTGATTAGGGGGGAGAGAGGGAAGACAGGTGGATAGATATGTCCCTGCATGGAGCAAACCCGCCTTCCTTTACCTTTCTTTGAACTGCTGGTGACAATGCTCACTGCAGAAACCCCTGCCTTCCCGGGCTCCATCTGATACATGTCTCCGGCCACAGGTATCACAGTGGCAAATGCTATCTGCTGTAGGCAGTTTGGGTTGCTCTGGCACATCTGAGTCAGAGAGAAGAGGAACAGTGAGGCACAAGAGTATCAAAGAAAGAAAAAAAAAGCAAGAAGCAGGAGATATTTGCCTTGCTTATACCCTAAGACAGACAGCACATGCTGGATGATGTTACCCATCCCCAGAAGTGCCAATAAGATGCTCTTACCCTGAGCAACAATAGTATTGTCCCTGCTAGTGGGTGCCACATCTGACTGCCCATCTTTCTTCGCATGACCCTCCTTTATAGCTTCTGCTGGAGGCATCTTATCAGCACTCACCACCTTCAGCGTCCCATACTCATTTATTCGAAACTATGTCATTGAACCAAAAAACAGAAGGAAAAAGTTAACAAAGAGGCAGAAATGTAACTTTATAGCTAGTGGGTGCATATGAATTCCGAGAATAACAGGGGCAAGGCTTGGTGATTACTGTGTTCAGAAAGAGGATGGCTCCTCCAGTGACAGAGGTGAGCACAAAAGTCAGCAATCCTGATGCCCCACCATGCAGTCCCTGCTAGCTACTGAGCCTACCCTGCATGGTCCAAGAAGAGAGAAGAAGCATGAGAGGCTCTAATCCCAGGCCTCATCTGCTGTCTGCCTGCACTTCGGTGTGATCAGCACCAGCTGGTAGCACTGAGAGGGATCATGATGTGCTAAATAGAAGCTGAGAAATCAGTGCACTTCATGCAAGCTATTTCGTACTACTCAGTAGCCTCAGTATACTTAAAAGCTGTCTGATGAGTGCAAGGCTGCTGCTTTTACGGTGAGCACAGGACTCCATTGAGAGCGAACTCCATAACATGGCTTGGAAAGGAAAAATACCCCACACAGAAAGTAGCATTCCTCTTCTCCCTGTGCAGGGCACAACACTGCAGTGCCAAACACAGCATGTACATGCTCTCTTTGCTAAGATCACAGTACAGGGCAGTCACAGAGATGGGGAATGAGCAGCCTCACAGAGCAGGAACAGCTGAAGTATTCTCTGGCTGGGCCTTGGGTACTGCCAGGGCCCTGCATCATATTCCAGAGGTCCCAGGCTGGCACAGGCTTGGGGGCTGCCACTTAAAAGGGCAAGCATTGGAGAGAGTAGCAGAATGGTGGAAGGAGGACAAATATGGCCCGTGGTTGCACTTACCCGCAGGTTACTCCCAGGCAAAGTAGCCACTCCATCTTTCCACTCCAACACACGGACTGTGTTGCAGGTCTGCACCCCACTGATCTGGGGGATGACAGTGGCTGTGATGGGTTCGCTCCCTACTCCCTTCTCTGGCCTCTCAGCCCCTGTGTTTCTTGGTGGCTCCCTGGGGAATCGCTGGATTTCTAAGGTGCTTGTAGGAAGGTTGATGGTAGTGGCATTTGCTTGAGAGGGGAAGAAAAGAAACAACCGACCAGAGACATACACAGAATGTTTTGCTGATGCAAACAAATCAAACAAAGGAATCACAGCAGCCTCAGGTAGCACAAAGTAACAGACATAATCTTCCAGCCAAGGGCTCAGTATGGTGTTCTAAAGCACTCACGTGCAGGGAGTGTGGCCCAACAGGATCTGCAGCCAGAGATGCCGGCGTGAGGAGGTGGCACTATCCATATTCAGGGGATCTTACTTCAGCCTAACTTCAGCCCGCTCCCATGATCAGAATGCCACATTGAAGCAGAGTGCTAGTAAGCTTCTGGACTGCTCAATGAATGCACTATACAGTCCACGGCTTTTCCACAGCAGGATCCAAGGTCAGGAGGAGGAACAATTAGGACATTTGCTTCTACGGTGCTCAGCTGGGCCAGATTAGCCCTAGAACTGCAACACAGGAGCCCATACACTCTGCAAAGCAGGCACCCAGGCAAACTGCACTGCGCTGGCACAGGGCCCTAGAAATCAGAGCTTCATTTCAAAAGCTGAAGGCTTTTGATCAGCCAGAAACCATCCAAGTGATGTGGGATAGCCACAGAGAATTTCTAAGATAGTAACAGCAACACAACCTTGCCTCCCAAGGTTTGGGAGGATCATAGACATACAAGAAGTGTGATACATGTCAATGCGTGGTGAGAGAGCTGAGGAAGCTCAGTTAGACAGGGCAAACATAGAATCATAGAATATCCCACTCTACAGAGGACCATCCAAAAATCAGACCGCATACCTGGTAAGATGAAGGCAGTCGTTGGTAGGTGGGTGGTCTGCACGGTGCTCTCAGTGGTGACCACATGAACGCTGACCTCCCCAGCAGCATTTCCTTTCATGGTTCTCACAACCTCCATCTCTGCTCTGCCATCCATCACCT